GGGGCAGCAGGGAGAGCAGGGGTGGCAGGGATACGTGAGGGGCGGCAGGAAGAGGAGGGGGCACTGGACGTATGTGAGGAGCGACAGGGCCGGGGCCAGGCTGGGCAGCAGCGTGGGCAGACAGGGAGATGAACAGTAACAGCCATTAGGCAAGGTTATGACAGTTTGGGATGAGGAAAGCCAGATTGAAAATCCCGGCTAGGGTTACCGTGGGGGCGGAGGACACACAATAATAATGCTGCTGGATAAAGCTGCTCCAAGCTCCGAGTTCATCCCAGGGCAGGAGATTTGGGGCCAGAAATCTCTGGTGGGTGGTTTGGGGATGCTGCGGAGGGATGTGGGGGGGCCCAGGGGAGGCCGCAGTCTCCAGCAGCAGAGCCACTAGCTGTTGGTCAGAAAGACACTGGGCTGGGGGGTGCCTGGCTGGGCAAGTTCTGCCTGCAATGATACAGTGGCCACGGCTGCAACAAGCTGCGTCTGGCCTCAGCTCCTGCCCGGTGTGGTTCGCCGGGAGGGGAAGCAGAGAGACAGAGGCAGGTGGAGCCAGGCTGCCAGCTCCCTCCCGGCTCGGGAGAATCCCCCAGGCTTTGCTATGGGAGGGCCGTAGCTTTCCAGATGTTTGAACCCCTGCAGGGGGGGAGGGGGATGCCCTGCCCCCGCTGGATTATGCCATTTCATCCCTTTAAGAGGATTGGGGCCGTGCGGGCTGGAAGCGCGTTAGGGACCGCCTGGTTGAGGGGGGCCCTCCCTGTGGGGGAGGCGAAGCCAGGCAGCCCGGGCGCCCCCACACACACCCTGAAGGCATGGGGGGAGGTCCCGTGTCAGGGCCACGGGGTGCAGGCTGCAGGGTCACCAGCAGCCTGAGAAGCACTAATGGGGGGTGGTGCAGGCCCAGAGGCCTCTGCAGGCCGAGAGCCTGAGCCATCACAGCTGCCCTGGGGCCCCTTTGTGCCAGGGGGCAGCAGGAGGCGCAAACACCCTCCCCTGGGCGGGCAGAGCCCAGCCCACCAGCTCCACACTGCTGCTCCAGCAGCCCTGGGCACAGGGGTGGAGCAGAGGGGGACAGGAGGAAGGGCTGGGAGGGGGCACGGCCAGGGCAGACTCTATGCCCCTGCAAAGCCCCACAGAGCCTGTTGAGGCGGAGCCGGACCATCCTACCCAGCACTGGAGTCAGTAGCGGGCCCCGCAGGCCCGGCCTAGGAGGGGGGCACACTGCCACCCCTTTGTCTTAGCACAGATCCTACCCGAGTTCCTGAGACCCCCCTTGGGCTGTGTGGGGTCTTGGGGAGCTGCGTAACCCCAGTGCGCTGATTGCCCTGTTCTCAGGACGGCCGGGAGCTGGGCCCCTGCCCTGCCACGCCACGTGCCCCTGGGGATAAATGGGGGGCGTTGGCCTCCAGGGCTAAGGCCTGGACACTTATAGCAGCACTGTACTCCCTGTAATGAAAGGGGAAGGAGGGGCTGGGCAGAGCCAGCTGAGCCCAGCCCCGGCACTGCTATTCGC